CGCGAAATAGTTGACCTCAAGATCCAAGAAGAGCAGTGTGGCTTCCGGCCCGGACGAAGCACCTCGGACCATGTATTTGCCCTGTGCCAGATTGTTGAGAAATCATGGGAGTACGCCCATCCTGTGTACGCGTTTTGTGGACCCAGAAAGGCCTATGATCGGATCCCACGCAATAGTCTGTGGACATGCCTTCGTGCGTACGGGATAGATGGCCTGCTGCTAAGGACCATCCAGTCACTGTATTGTGATAGCAGGTGCTGCGTCAGAGTTAATGGCGTTAATTCGAAACCATTCAACGTTCGTATTGGTCTCCGCTAAGGCTGCGTCCTGTCCCCTATCCTGTTTGTGTTGTACATGAATAGAATAGTCGCCAAGGCGATCAGTGTAGGAGACGTGAAGTGGAGAAGGTTGCTTTTGCAGACGACCTTGTTTTATTAGCGTCTTCTGTAGCTGATCTTCAGTGCTCCCTAAAAAGGTTCGCAGCCGAGTGCGTCGTGACCGGCATGCGTGTGAACGCATCTAAAAGGAAAAGTCTAGTGCTTTCTCGTTCTCCTGCCCGTCGCCCTTTCAGATTAACGGAGAGGCAGTGGAGCAGGTGGAGAAGTTCAAGTACCTCGGAACTATATTTACTAGTGACGGAAAGTTGGAGGAAAAGATCGACCGGTGAATTGGAGTAGCCAGTGGCGTTCTGCGTGAACCAGCCCGACCCATTGTGACTGAAGCAGAGCTCAATCTGTAAACTAAGCTCTCAGTATTCAAGTCGATCTTTATCCCCATACTTACCTACGGTGATGATTAGTGGACCATCATTAAAAAACTTCGAACCCGGGAACAAGCTGCTGTAATGGGCTTTCTTAGACGAGACGCTGGCCTTACGCGTCTCGACATGGTCCGCAATAGTGACATGCGGAAGAGCCCTTGAATACAGTCTTTGCTTCTCCAGATTGAGAAGTCACAGATGCGATGGCTTGGGCATGTGTTACGACTGCCTGCAGAAAGGAAGGCTAAGTAACTCTTCCTTGCAAATCTGACCGTCAGAAGGCCCAGGGGTCGGGACGGCGAAGATTAACCTAATGCAAATGTATGGAAGGAGTCTGTTCCAGACTCCAGTTGTCTTTTGCCGAAGCTCAAGCTCTGGCACAGGATTGCGAACGTTGAAAGCTCTGTCTGACACGTCTGCCTCTGCGACCCGAAAGAAACGAAGTCATATCTCTGCAGTTAATAGGGAACCATTAATATGCCAGATTTTATTGCAGGCATGGTTTCTGTATACATCTGTTGAAACATGAAACAGGGTGTGGTCAAGTATCCTATAGTATTTGAAGATTTTGCTCATAAGGAAATGAAATGTCGCCTTAATGTGGATGAGATTGGCATGTCGAGGCAATTGGAATCATTGGCATTGCTCAATGATCCTGCACAGAATGAAAATGTAGTCAGACAGGAGTATGGAATCCAGTTATTTTAACCCATCGTTCATTGCGTTGCTTGAAAATTAGGATTTCGCCATATTATGAGAAAAGTTTAATCATTAAAGAAGACATGACTATGGGTTTTATCGGCTGAAACCATGAGAACGCATAAGGTTATGCTGGATTTTCATCAGAACACATTCATGAGTCAGCTTTATGACCTCATTGTTGGATATTCATAGGAATCATCATTATCAAAGATTATAATGTCGTTACAACGGAATAAATTTTGATGAATTTTCGTTGAAACATTCGTAGTCATTTCCTTATTTGTTGATATTCCTGGAAGTTGCCCTTAAATTTTCGCTCCTTTTCAATTGTGCTGTTTTCTGTTGGTGTTGGCTGCAGTGCTGAATTTTAGGAAAGAACCAAAAATGCGCAATTCATTGTCATCTCTCTTCGAAACAACATGTTCGAGTTGACCGACCGGTTGATTGGCATCTATAAAACGAATAATTGTACGGATTCAATTGTGTTAGATCCACGCAGAATTATCTTTGGTTGCTTGACAGAGCAGAAGAAATTGAAACTCGACCAGCCAAAGTTGGAAGTTAAGCTGGCGTAGTTCTATTCTTATTCTTTTGAAAGAATGGAACTTTTCTGTATGCGACATTTGTTTAGATTATTTTGTACTTTTCAGAACAACGTTGTTTCGTTGTTTTCAGAAAGATTCTGTTTATAATTTACGAACATTAAATAACGGGAATCTCTAAGTTTGTACTTTGGTGTTTTGCCTGTGATTAGAAATTTAAGTCATTTAGTTTAAGCAAGGTATCGAATTGGATATCGTGAACTGTGCCTTCCGTCTAAAATGAGACGTTGTCTTTGCCGAGTTCGTTTTGAATTGTTTTGAACAATGCTGTATAGCAAAGCGAAGACACATCGACACACGGTGCCAATATGAGAGAGGATGGAGAA